TTTATAAAGCCTCTTTTACTTCCCACTGGGGAGTTTTCCACAGACCCTGCAGGTCAGGTAACTAATCAGTAATGTCCAAAGGCTTTAGAAACAAAGTTACATCCAGGTTAGAGCCAAGTTTTTGCTCAATCATTAAACAAGTGAAAGACGATCGTCTCTGGCAAGTTCCAGAGAGATTACAGAGAGATGGAGTAAAACGTAATGGTGCAAACGTAAATGATAGTCTTACATTTGCACATTGTTGTAAATAATTATTGAGTCTGTTGTAGAGTTGTGTGGACATCTGGGTGAATCTTTGTGACCTGGACACAGATTTACTGTCTGTGGGCACAAATGAGAAAGTTTAAACCACTGGTCAAACGATTACATCACTAAGAGAGTCAAAGTCAGTTGGGGGCAGAGATGGGCAGTAATGTGTTACAAGTAACGTGTTACTGTAATCTGATTACTTTTTTCAGGTAACGAGTATTGTAAGGGATTACTATTGCAAAAAGTAATTAGATTACTGTTGCTTTCCCATAAGCACGCTGTGCGTGTCTCATGACGTACGAGTGCGACGTCCGTGGCAGCAACAGACGTGTGCAGATCAACATGGATAATATGGAGAGCAGAGAGAGTACGACCGTGCAGTGTTTAAAGCGTGGAAGTAATCACATTACTTTGAGTTTGATTCTGTAAAAGTGACAAAAACATCTGCGTCTGCTGTTCACTCTGTGGGAAGAAAACTTCTTTCTACAGCGAAAGATTAAACTTCAAATCTGAGCGAGCAGCGAGCACGCTGCCACGGGAAACCCCTGGATCCTCCCACTGACATGACCGCTGTGGGCAAACCTCCACCCGCCCCACTCCTGCTAAACAGGTGGCAGTAGATTTAAGAGCTGCATTTTACTTGCATCTAGTTGAAAGAGTGTAAAACAAAACATGTTATTTTATTTGCTGGAATATGCAGGAAACAGGTTTAAATGTTAAAGAACTTCTTCCAGTCAAAGACAGCTACATTAAAACTAATAAAACAAGTTTAAACAGAAGCTTTTTCATGTGGTTACATTGTATATGATGGATTATGCAGAAAAGGTTGCTTCATTACCTGCTCAGGTTGTATATCATGTTTTTAAAAAGTAACTAATTACTTTTGAAATAAGTAATCAGCCTAGTAACAGGATTACTTTTTTAGAGAAGTAATCAGTAATTAGTAACTAATTACTTTTTTCGAGTAACTTGACAACACTGGTTGATTCTTGTCTAAAACCATGCATCCATATTTCCCTCTGCTCTCAACACTGCAGTTGTTACTCTCCATATAAAGCTGGTGATAAAGACAAAGTAGCCCATTACAGACCAGTTTGAAGATGACCTGTTGTCTCCAAATTATAGTAAAAAAGTCCTTTAGTAGCTGGAAACACACGTGATAAAGGATGCTGTGTTTTATCCCAGTTTAGAGCTGCACGTGTTTGCAGGGGCTGTGAAGGCTAACCTGTATAAACGAGGTGCAGTGTTTCTGCGTTTGACACAGTAAATACAGAAATGCTTTTACTCTCAGGTTTCTACAAGAGTTTCAAATGGGAGAAAATCATATTTAGAAAATAAGTTATCACAAGGTGTCTGTGGCACAACGATGGACCCTGGTGTCCCTGTGTTATTCAATGTGTGTATTAATGACTGTAACAATATTGTTACTGTTTTCTCGTACACTTGTGAATCATCACAGTGTTGCTGTGCTCAATGTGTAGGTGTCATTTTAGATTCCACATTGAAGCATGTGAAAAACACTAGTAGCATACACAATATAGTTACCTTTCAACTGGGGATGGGACTCAAGAACCAGTTCTTGTAG